ACGCAGGAACATAGAGCTGGAAGGGATCTTAAGGGTCATCCAGTACAACCCCCCGCACAACGGATGGAATTCACAGCTACCCACCCCCCACTCCTCCAGTGACCCGCTGCTCTAGTCCCAGAGGAAGACAGAAAATCTCCAGGATCTCAGAAGCTAGGCAGGGCCAACCCCGGCAAGTACCTGGAAAGGGTGACCTCCAAGGAATATCAGAAGTAGGGTGCAGAGGGAGGCTAATCAAGCCACCTCTCTGAAAAGCCCCCAAGCCCCCTGTAGGGGTCACCAGAAGTCACCATGACTTCCAGGCAAGCACATAAAACACACACACATTAAAAAAAAAAAATAACCTCCAGGATCCCTGAGCCAATCTAGCCTGGTCTTTCATATCACTTTCTACCTGCTCCTTTAACTGGACATAGCAGGTATTGAACCTGGGACCTTCTACGTGCCAAACAGATGCTCTACCACTAAGTCATGGCCCCTCCATATCGAAGAAGAAGAAGAAGAGGATTGGGTTTATACCTCCGCCCTTCACTACCCAAAGGAGTCTCAGAGCGGTTTACAAACCCCTTTCCCTTCCCCTCCCCACAACAGACACCCTGTGAGGTAGGTGGGGCTGGGAGAGCTCTGACAGAAACGGCTCTTTTTCAAGGACAGCTCTTATCAGAGCTATGGCTTGCCCAAGGTCATCCAGCCAGGTACAAGTGGAGGAGTGGGGAATCAAACCCGGTTCTCCCAGATTAGAGCCCGCGCACTTAACCACTACACCAAGTTGGCTCTCTCTAATTGGGTTTGATTCCCCACTCCTCCACATGCAACTGCTGGTGTGACCTTGGGTGAGTCATAAGTTCTTTCAGAGCTGTGCTCTCAAGGGCAGTCCGCGAAAGAGCTCCCTCAGCCCCACCTACCTCACAGGGTGTCTGTTGTTGGGAGAGGAAGGGGAAGGAGTTTGTAAGCCGCTCTGAGACTCCTTCGGGTGCTGAAGTGTGGGATATAAAGGCAATCTCTTCTTCTTCTTCTCTACACCTCACTGGCTCTCCTCTGCTGTAGCTGGAAAGAGGTAGGGATATTTAGCAACACAGTGATGTTACACCAGAATTTTTTGTTTTCTAGACCCTACAGGGAAGAGAAGTGAGGAAGTCTTGGGGGTTATTCTTTTTGGCAATAGCTGCTGAATCTTTGCAAGGTTCAAGGTTCAAATTACATGTGCCATGGGAGGGTCTCCTGGTGGTTTTTAAAAAAACATGAAAAAGACACTGGGCTGGATGATCCACACTAAATTTTCTGCTAACAGAAGGGGAGAGGAGAATGTTGTAAGCCAACTGGAGTCCCCATTGGGGAGAAAAGTGGGGTACAAATCAAGTAAATACATAAATAAATGACCCCAATGGTAGGAAGGGACCGTCAGTCGTTGTGCAAAGAACATTTCTGCCAACAGATGGCGCTGTAGGATTTTGTCAGGGCTAACTTTTAAACATTTTATGTTTAAACATTTTTTCCTGTGAATAAAAAACAGATCCCGGCAATGGATATATTAAGGTGAAATGGGTTAGGTTTTAACATGTTTGTGAATAAAAAAAAGCAAGCATCTAGGAAACACAAGATGATACAGGCTATTTACCCAGGGTCCCTCTAAACTGTGGAGTCCTGTGAGCAGAAATTCTACTCTGTGAGCAACTGGCATTGAAGTTGTGAGCGAGCAATTTGCCTGCTGCATAAATTAGTTTGCTCTGGAGCCATCCTTCCTGGGCTGAGAAATGTGAGCTTGAGGCTAAAAAACTGAGCTGGCTCACACTGACTCAGCTTAGAGGGAACCAGGATGAAAAGGCCTGAGCTGTGATATTCTCATAGGCTTGCCAACTTCCAGGTGGTAGCTGGAGATCTCCTGCTATTACAACTGATCTCCAGGTGGCAGTGAGAAAACAACCACTTTGGAAGGCAGGCTTTTTGGCACTATGCCCCGTTGAAGCCCCTCCCCAAACCCCGCCCTCCTCAGGCTCCACCCCCCAAACCTCCAGGTATTTCCCAAGCTGGAGCTGGCAACCCTATATTCTTAGCACCTAGGGATGCCATGCCAGCCTTCAGATGGGACCTGGAGATCCCTTGGAATTACAGCTCATCTCCAGCCTACAGAGATCAGTCCCCCTGGAGAGAATGGCTGCTTTGCAGGCTGGACTCTGTAGCATTGTACCTAACTAAGGTTCCTGATCTCCTCAGGCTCCATCCCCATATCTCCAGGAGTCTCCCAACCCGGATCTGGCAACCCTAGCCCCCCATCTCCCACTGCTGGCCGGGGGGGACCTGGCAACCCTAGGCCACCTCCAACAGCACAGGCAAGGGACTCAGGCACCTTAGGTAGCAATGGTCTGACCCTCCTTCTGTCTGCCCCTATTGCAGAAGATAGGCTGTAGCATTGGGAACATAAGAACATAAGAGAAGCCGATGTTGGATCAGGCCAAAGGCCCATCCAGTCCAACACTCTGTATCATACAGTGGCCAAAAATACCAGGTGCCATCAGGAGGTCCAGCAGTGTGGCCAGGACATTAGAAGCCCTCCCACTGTTGACTCCCCCCCCCCAAGCACCAAGAAGACAGAGCATCACTTGCCCCAGAGCCCCTATCTATACCTTGTGGCTAATAGCCACTGATGGACCTCTGCTCCATATGCTTATCTAATCCCCCTTTGAAGCCGTCCATGCTTGTAGCCGCCACCACTTCCTGTGGCAGTGAATTCCATGTGTTAATCACTCTTTGGGTGAAGAAGTACTTCCTCTTATCCGTTCTAACCCGACCGCTCAGCAATTTCATGGAGTGCCCACGAGTTCTTGTACTGTGAGAAAGGAAGAAAAGTACCTCTTTCTCTACCTGCTCTTTCCCATGCATAATCTTATAAACCTCGATCATGTCACCCCTCAGTCGTCTTTTCTCCAAGCTAAAGAGCCCTAAGCGCTTTAACCTTTCCTCATAGGGAAAGTGTTCCAACCCTTTTATCATTCGAGTTGCCCTTTTCTGCACTTTTTCCAAAGCTATAATATCCTTTTTAAGGTGTGGTGCCCAGAACTGCACACAGTATTCCAAATGAGGTCTCACCATTGATTTATATAGGGGCATTATTATATTGGCTGATCTGTTTTCAATACCCTTCCTAATAATCCCCAGCATAGCATTGGCCTTCTTTATTGCAGTCACACACTGTCTCGACACTTTCAGTGAGTTATCCACTACAACTCCAAGATCTCTCTCTTGATCAGTCTCTGCCAGTTCAGACCCCATCAATGTGTATTTATATTTAGGATTTTTGGCTCCAATGTGCATCACCTTGCACTTGGCCACATTGAACCCCATTTGCCATGTTGACGCCCACTCGCCCATCCTTGACAGATCCCCTTGGAGTGCCTCACAATCCTCACTGGTTTTCACCACCCTGAACAACTTTGTATCATCCGCAAATTTAGCCACTTCACTGCTTACTCCCATCTCCAAATCATTAATGAACAAGTTAAAAAGCAGTGGACCAAGTACTGATCCCTGCGGTACCCCACTGCTTACCACCCTCCACTGAGAAAATTGCCCACCTACACTCACTCTCTGTTTTCTATGAACTAGCCAGTTTTTGATCCATAAAAGGACTTGTCCTTCTATCCCATGATTTTTGAGCTTACTTAGGAGCCTTTGATGAGGAACTTTATCAAAAGCTTTCTGGAAGTCAAGGTAAATAATATCTATTGGATCCCCCTTGTCCACATGTTTGTTCACCCCCTCAAAGAACACTAACAGGTTAGTGAGACAAGATCTTCCCTTACAGAAACCGTGCTGAGTCTGCCTCAATAGGTTTTGTTCATCTATGTGCCTACTAATTCTTTCCTTAATAATGGTTTCCACCAATTTACCCGGTATCGACGTCAGACTGACTGGCCTGTAATTTCCCGGATCTCCTCTGGAACCCTTTTTAAAGATGGGAGTGACATTAGCTACCTTCCAATCCTCAGGAATGGAGGCAGATTTTAAGGAAAGATTACATATCTTTGTCAGGAGATCTACAAGTTCACATTTGAGTTCTTTCAGAACTCTCGGATGTATGCCATCTGGGCCTGGTGATTTTTCAGTTTTTAAGTTGTCTATCAGTTTTAGGACCTCCTCTCTCATCACCTCAATCTGACTCAGGTCTTCCAACACCCCTCCTGAAATCAGTGGTTCTGGAGTGGGCAAGCACTTCTCATCTTCCACAGTGAAGACGGAGGCAAAAAATGCATTTAGCTTCTCAGCCATTTCCCTATCATCCTTCAATACTCCTTTTACCCCTTGGTCGTCCAAGGGCCCCACTGCCTCCCTGGCTGGTTTCCTGTTTCTAATGTATTTGAAGAAAGTTTTATTGTTGGTTTTTACGTTTTTTGCTATATGCTCCTCATATTCCCTTTTTGCCTGCCTGACCTCAGACTTGCATTTTATTTGCCATAGCCTGTGTTCCGTTTTATCAGCCTCACTGTGACTAGCTTTCCACTGCTTAAAGGAATTCTTTTTACTTTTTACAGCCTCCATTACTCTGTTTGTTAACCATGCAGGCTTTTTCCTATACCTGTTTGTGCCTTTCCTAACCTGCGGAATATATATTTTTTGAGCTTCTAGGATCGTAGTTTTAAATAGATCCCAAGCTTCCCCAATTGTTTTGACCCTTTCTACTTTTCCTTTCAGTTTCCTCCCCACGTGTCCCCTCATATCAGAGAAATTACCCCTTATTGGCTTTCATCCGGCGGTTTGCTTTAAAGTTTTCTGTTAGCCGCCTAGTAGAAAGCTGAAAGGGATAAAAATATTGTAGCTGCAATAAGATAAATAGTGTTCGCATTTTCAGAAGAGTTTTGTGTTGCTTATACATATTCCTTTCCCCCTTTTAAAAAAAGCATTCACCAGTTTCTGAAGCCCTGTGTTCGCTTCCAGGCTCCACACAGTGAATGTTTTCTCTTGTTTTTATTTCCCATTTACTTCCCAGGTGTGTGTGATACATCATGTCTACCAGCAAATGCTCCAGATGCATTGGGATTTCCTTGTTCTCGCTCTCTATCTGTGCGATTGTCTCTAATCTTCTCCTCTACTTCCCTAATGGGCAAGTGCTAGACGCCGACAGGATCACTGACTTGGTCTGGTTTTTCCATGGCATTCTGGGAGCTGGAATACTGGTAAGCTGATCGGTGTATGTTAATGGTCCCCAACAGGGCATCTGTGAGCACTAAGGCACCCACTAATGTATTCCCTGGTGCCCACTTGCTCCCCCCCCCCAAAGAAAAGTCCTTTTCCTAAAGTAAAGGGCCAATCCTGTATTTCCTCTATCCCATTGGAGCAGGATATGCTTCAGAGCACCCAAGAGGCATCACCTTTGGGTCTACAGGAAGCGCCCATTCCTACATAGCTGCCTCCATCATAAGAGGGCGCTTGGCTTAGAATCGCCAAAAGTTTGTGATTGGCCCCCCCAGCATCCATTTTGTGATTGATCCAAGCTTGGGTGGCAGCCATTTTGTGGTGGTGGCAGCTACCCTTTCTCCAAAAGTGCCCTCTGGCTCAGCAAGCTGGGAATCTTTGCTGCAAGTGTTTTGGTATTTTTGTGGAATTGTTTCAAGAACACCTTTCAAATAGTATTGTCATAACTCCATAGCACCTGGTACCAAAACAGAACTTTATTAGGAAGATAAGCAAGTTCTGATCTGGGCCCTGCTAGGCCATAACCAGCCTCAGCCATAGGTTGCCATTTCCCCAATGGGGGCAGGGGTTTGCCTGCTTTCGGCCCCCCCGATCTGCCGGCCTCGATCTGGCTGACGGGGGAACCCTGCCCCCAAAATGCCCTTTCGCACCAATGTGCTTGGTGCAATGACGTCACCTGGAGGTGACAATAGAGTGTCCCCCCCCCCAACATGCCCTGCGTGATGTCGCTGGGATTGTTATATCCCAAAAATGTATCTGGAGGGATTGCTAATGCGAGGGGTCCCTCAGAACAAGACATTCATCAGGGATAGAACAGTGTAGTTTGGAAACACTGTATAGAGTTCCCAGGAGTGGACAAAAGAGACTGGAGGTTCTCTTCTGGATGTAAAGTACAATTTGGGTTGGATTCCTCCAGTGGTCGAAGAATTAATGGACTCCTAATTTAAACTAATCAAAATGGAAACAATACTGCTTGGTGAGCCACCTGGGTCTGGGGTTTGGAAAAGGAGTAGAAGCCAGGAGTTTTTACTATAAAGGAAATGTGGGGAGGAAAGATGAGGTGAGATTGATAGGATTAGGGTTCGAGGCTGAAAAGAAGCCGTTCTGGGGCAAGGCAAGTCCATTGTCCAGAGTATGCAGATGTCAGCAGGGTGGAGAGGGGGTTGCAGTTGTCAGACCAAGATAGTGGGGAATTTCACATTACCCCTTTTAAGCCATTATTGTACTGTCAGGTCGCTGCCTAGGCATGATTATAGGCCTGCTAGTTCTGGCGTCCATCTTTGTGTCCACTTATGTCAAGATGCCTGGTACATGGATTCCTGGGGTACCCCGATGGTTGAAAAGACCAGAGGTCATTTCGGGGGGGATCGCAGGGGATCGCAGTTCCCCCGGATGAGGTACGGGGGGTGGGGCACATGACGAAGCCCCGCCCCCTGCTTCCGGCCGCCCCGCTTCCGGCCCTCATTCAGCCAGGAGGAGGCAGGAGAAGAGGGAGGGTAAGTTGCTTCCTCCCTGCCTCTCCCCACCCCTGCCTGCCTGGGGCCAGGGAGGGCCTTCGCGGGGCTTCCTTGCACTCCCACCGGCCTTGCAGGTCCACCGCCGGGCCCCTGATGTCAGGGGGTGTGGCATATGCTAATGAGTTATGCTAATGAGTCCCCCTAGCTCTTTTTCTACGAAACGACCCCTGGAAAAGACCCCTCCTGAGAGACAGGGGGTCTGCATGGTCACATCCCCATCCCCCACTGGTTGCCTGGAGGGACCTGGCAACCCGAAGTATTTGCCTCTAAACATGGAGGTTTTGATGCACCCAGCCTTCAAGTATTTGTGTAACACCCCTTTAAAGCCACCTAGACCGTTACCTCATTGAAGCAAATTCCATACATTTATTTATTTGTTTGCTTCATTTATACCCTTGGGGTAGGGTTGCCAAGTCGAAAATCCATACCGGCGGGGGAGCGTTGCTGGACTCCGGGAGCTCTCCTCTGATGCGCACGCGCCGCCAGTACGTCCCGGAAGTGACGCGCGACGTCGATCACATTGGGGGCGTGGCCCCGATCGCCGGAGGGAAAACCATAGAGTTTTCCCTCCGACTATTGGGGCCGCGCCCCCAACGTGATCGACGTGGTTGCATCACCTCTTGTGACGCAGCCATGCTGCGCTTCGGGGGGCGGAGTTCCCACCAGGGCCCGATTCCATGGCGGCGAAAATCGGGCCTCCAAAGCGGGGGTTTACCTGCCCCCACTTGGCAGCCCTACCTTGGGGACCCAAAGTGGCTTACCTCAGTCTCCTCTTCTCCATTTCATCCTCACAACAGATCTACAACTACATTTTCAGATTGTGTGTGTTTAGATTTTGCAAGTTGCCTTGGGCATCGTGGAAAGGCAGGATATAAAGATTTCAAATAAAATGATTAAATAACACAACCCTGCAAGGTAGGTTAGGCTGAGAGTGTGTGACTGGCCCAAGGTCACCCAGCAAGCTTCTACGGCAGAGCAGCGATTTGAACTGAGCCCCCGGTCCCAGTTTGACACCACAACTGCAGTACAACCATGCCAAACAAATTGCATGTGATCTGAAGGACTTCATTTTATCTGTTATGAATCCACTGCTGATCGATTTAGTTGCGTAACCAAGGGCTCTTGTGTTATGGGACTTTGAGGAAACCTTCTCTCTTTTCATTTCCCCCACCAGAGGCATAATTTAATAAACTCTTATAAGTTCCCCTTGGCCACGGACAGAATGACTACTAATCCTGTTTACATCTGAGATATGGCTGAATTTGTTTTGTTTTATACCGAATCAGACCATTGGCCCATCAAGGTCAGTGTTTTCTAGTCAGACTGGCAGCGGCTCTCCAGTCAGACTGGCAGCTGTTCTCCGGGGGTTCAGGAGAATATATTGATATATTGGATGTTGAACCTGGGACCAGTGGGGAGAGGCTGTGACTCAGTGGAAGAACATCTGTTTGGCAAGCTGAAGGTCCCAGGTTAAATCCCCGGCATCTCCAGTTAAACAGGACCAGGCAGTAGGTGATGTGAAAGACCTCTGCCTGAGTCCCTGGAGACACGCTGCCAGTCTGACTAAACATCACTGACCTTTGCAGGCCAATGGTCTGATTCAGTATAAGGCAGTTTCATGTGCCCATGTTTGTATTCGTTTGTTCATTTTTGTTTGTTTGTTTGTTCGACTTTTTAATAACTCATATTTTACAGGCCTTTTTAGGGGTCAAAAAGCTAACAAACTTGGAAGTCTACAGAGAAAACATGTCATCATTATAAATGTCACTTTGGGGGAAAAAATATCTCCCATGTAGACAGTCTCAAAGCAAAAGATGTAAACAAAAGAAACGTGCCTTTATGGTCTCATTCAGAACAGGGCGTTTTGTGAAAAGTCCTCAGCGAAAACAGCCTAAGGTCAGGGTGACATGCGTCATGCTTGTACACAAAGAACAGTGAGGGCGGAGGAGCACCCATTGATCTTCTAAACTGGGGACTTGTGGTACTCTCTCCGACTAGTTATTGACCTACAAAACAGTGCCGTGATGAAAGCATGTCCTTTTCCTCTGAAATGATGAGCATTTGCACCAGCAGTGTGCTGTGGGTTGTCTCTTCACTGCCTACCTCACAATTTGTACTTGAATGCTGCTAAGGTTGGCTGTAGATATATGTGAGCCCTCAGTCCATAGTTCTCCTCCATCACAGCCTCCCGTATTCTGTAGTCCCCTCCTCTTCCCCCCCCCACCGCCATATTCATCTCCCTGTCCCCATCATGGCTCTAGCAGAGGGAGTGGAGTGTGACTCCTTTTGAACCCTTTCTAGCTCTGTCAGGACCTAAAAGGAGCGCTCCGCTCCTCGCAGAAACCTTCCTGTGGCAAAATGCAAGACACCAGGGGCTTCTGAGGCAATCTCCCGTTTTCCAGACGGAATATAATGGAGGAAGCAGACAGCAAGAGAACAATACTCGGCTATCTCTAGAGTTGCCCGTTCTCCCACTGGCAACCCCTGCTGCCTGCCACCCCTCTGTTGGCCAATGACAGATAAAGAAACAAACAAACAAAAAATCACCATCAGCCTGCCAGTGTTATGTCACTTCCAGGGAAAAACCAGAAGTCATGTCATGTCTCTCTAGGAATTGCTGGAAACTCTGTGGTTATACTGCCACTCCAAGTGGTGGTGAGCAAGGGGAGCTGGGAGTGAGGGTTTTTAACCAGAAGTGAGTACTGGTCATGATCCGGTGCTGTAAGCACTATCCCATACTAGCTCTCCAGGTATTTACTCGCAAAGGTTCACAGTAGAGGTTCTCAGTGGCAGAAGGGAATTCAAGATCAAGGCTTTTGCCCCTTCCTTAATGTAAATTTCCAGAGGCTCCTCCTCCTGAGCTGCTCTTTGAAGTCCCTCTCCTCCCCAAATGCTGCTCTCGATGTCTACATGAACGATAGCCCTTTTTCTATGAAACGACCCCTGACGATAGCCCAAAAAGCACCTAAAATGTTTACTCAGTATGCATGAGCACTCTAGCCGATGACTCAATTTTTTTTTTGCCAGCCAGAAGTAGGTGCTCTTAGCAGGAGACTCCAGGGAGCCAGTTTTGTGTAGTAGTTAGGAGCACGGACTCTAATCTGGGAGAACCAGGTTTGACTCCCCACTCCTCCACATGCAGCTGCTGGTGTGACCTTGGGTCAGTCACAAGTTCTCTCAGAGCTCTCTCAGCCCCACCTGCTTCACAGGGTGTCTGTTGTGGGGAGAGGAAGGGAAAGGAGATTGTAAGCCGCTCTGAGTCTCCTTCGGATAGTGAAGGGTGCGGTATAAATCCAATCGCTTCTCTTTTCTTCTTCTCTAAGCTGTGAATTGAGTAGACACTGGAAACTTGTACACATAATGAAATGAAAAGTAAAACAGATATTTTACTTTGCTTTACTACAATCCAGTTTGAATTTGTTTTTCTTTTGGAAAGGTGGAGTAGAAGTTACTTGAGGCTATAGCTGATAATTTTATGTCAACAGCATGACTCAAAGGTCTATCATTTGGGAACAGGGATGTCCAGTCTCCCAGCAGTCTCTTTTATTGTCCACCAGCACCTTGGATGCCAGTGGGAGAAACTGGTAGGGAGAAATGTGTGCTTGTGGTGTGCTGGTGTGCTTACTTCACTTCCAGTTAAGTGACACAGGGATACTCTAGCATTTCATTAAAAATTCTATGGTAACCATAGAGTTTTTGCAAAATAGTAATTTTTCCCTATGACACTTCTGACATATGTATGTCGGCACACCAGGTCCTACCCCCAGCTCCTTCTGGGAGTTGCCGGCTGCAGCCTGGCTTTCTTAGTTTTGGGAATGCATAGAAATCCTGCTAGGGCTTATTTTTGGGGTAGGTCTTATTTTCGGGGAAACAGGGTATTTTGGTGATGAATTTTTGGTGGCTAATTTTAATCAGAGAAAAACTGTGTAGCTGAAAATCAAGAGTGCATTTCCCCCCTCAAAAGACTCTTTCAGGGCTAGGGTGACCCTGCAAGAAGGGATAAATAAGAAAATATTAAAATGGTCTTTAGTTCTAATGATGAATACTATTTTTTAAAAAAATAAATAAATTTGAGGTAATTGGGTTCTTTTTGGTAATATGTGGACTTTTTGAAAAATGTCCATCAATCACTTCAAGATTTAAAACAGACAGTTAATGAACAAAACCTTCCTCAAATGTGAACGATGAAGATGCTCAGTGGAAGCATATAAAATGCCGTTAGGAACAGACAGACAAGGTTTTGTTTTTTGTTTTTTTAAATTACATTCAGTATTGCAGTACTGTGTTTAAAAAAAATAAAGGGAAAAGTGGCTCAGTTCGTCAGTCTTAGAACGATTCTGCATCTAGCGTTTGCTCTACATTTTCTCAAATAGGAGGGAAAAGTGCAGCTCAAAACCACATTCAAATAGCTCGGGGCAATGCCGTACTGATTGCAAAGTCACCCCTGAATAGCCATAAAACAGCCATAAATCTATGCAGAAGGTACCATAAAACCCGATGATCAAAGGAAGTAACAACAACATGCAATGCAGAGGGGAATTTCTGTTCCAACGTGGGTGGAGGGAAAAGCCAGTGCAGAATCAGCCTTAATTAGCGCTTCTAATTCCTGGCTCAGTCAGGAAGCTGAATCACAGGTCACTGTCCTGACTGCACTGGGTGAACTGCAAGAAGATCTCTTATCCATTACCCCGGCTTTCTGGCAGAGTTCCATTTTAACCGCAACTGGCAGAGAGTATCACCAGCACTACAAAACAAGAAATAAATAAAAAACAAGGCATGTCCTTTCCGGCTGGCAAATGCCCTTGGAACGAGGATAGACAAGAAAGCAAATGGAGTTGTGTGTTTTTTTGTTAAACACTTTTATTGTGCTCTAGGCTAATTTGCTGCTCACCATATTGATGTATCTGAAGAAGTGTGCATGCACACAAAAGCTTATACCTAGAACCAAACTGTTGGTCTTAAAGGTGTTAAAGGTGCCACTGGATTCAAACCTTGTCCTAATATCGCCCAGAGCAAAGCAAATGGATATTGTGTAGGAGGGATTCCAGGAAGGCTTTCATATGTAGCAAGTGCCAGTTTGGTTGGAACTTGGCTGACTTTGGATGGTCTCACCCCAAGCTGGGCTGAATGACTATTTGGTTTCTGGTGGGTCACAGAGCAGCCGGTTAGGATTCTTGCGAAAGACCCTGGATTAGGAGGAACCTGAGCCTGATCCAGTTAACATGATCGTTCCCATGTTCTTAAGTAAGAGTGCATTACACAGAATTGTTTACTGCTTTAAGTTGCAATTATGGAGCAACCTTGAGCATGTCCCCTTACATTGTAAATTCGAAACACAGGGGTGGACTGTTGAGATTCTATACAGGGCCGGCTCGTTCACTAGGCGAACTAGGCGTTCGCCTAGAGCGCACCAGCCCTTAGGGGCACCAAACTGAACCCGCCCCCACCAAAAGCCCCCCCCATCTAAAGACCTGCATTTCCATGGGTGGGGGCATTTTCACGGGCTGCCGGCACCTCTTATATATAGTAGGGTATGTGAGGCTGAACCCAGCCCTCCCCTGTTCTAAACCAGAGAGGAGAAGTGGAAGCGTGGGTGAATCGTCCTTCCTTTTCCCAGGCTGCTCTGGATCACCTCCTCTGTCCCATCCGACAAGATACAGTGCCTGCAGAGGGGAAATACACAAGTACACTTTCAGATGTGCCCTGACCTGGATAAGCCCAAGCAAGCCCGATCTCGTCAGATCTCAGAAGCTAAGCAGGGCCAAATCTATCTAGTACTTGGGTGGGAGACCTCCAAGGAATACCAGGGCTGAGATGCAGAGGCAGGCAAATTTCAAGCCACCTCTGAACGTCCCTTGCCTTCAAGCCCCACTAGGGGTCGCCAGAAGTCTACTTAACTTTTTTTAAACTTTAAAAATGTTTATTGATAAGAGAGGAAGAAGAGGAGGAGGAGGAGGAGATTGGATTTATACCCCACCCTTCACTACCCAAAGGTGTCTCAGAAAGGCTTACAAACTCCTTTCCCCTCCCCACAACAGACACCCTGGGAGGTAGGTGGGGCTGAGAGAGCTCTTGACAGAAACTGCTCTTTTTCAAGAAGAGCTCTTATCAGAACTACAGCTTTCCCAAGGTCATCCAGCCAGGTGCGAGTGGAGGAGTGGGGAATCAAACCCGGTTCTTCCAGATTAGAGGAGAGGAGAGAGGAGAGATTGGATTTATACCCCGTCCTTCCCTACCCAAAGGAGTCTCAGAGCGGCTTACAAACTCCTTTCCCTCCCCCTCCCCACAACAGACACCCTGTTGCTAGCTCTAGGTTGGGAAATACCGGGGCATTTTGGGGGTGGATCCTGAGGCAGGCAGGGTTTGGGGAAGGGAGGGACATCACCGTGGGGTATAATGTCATAGAGTCCGCCTTCCAAGGCAGCCATTTTCTCCAGGTGAACTGATCTTTGTCTCCTGGAGGTCAGTGGTTATCCCAGGAAATCTCCAGCCACTACCTGGAGGTGGGCAACCCACCCTGGACTCTATCTTGGCTCAGACAGAACCTGACAATTTACCAGCAAGCTGAACTTCCAGTCTCCATTTCCCCCCTGTGAACAGGGATGCCAGCCTTCAGGTGGCGGCTGGAGATTTCCTGGGCTTACGACTGATCTCCAGGTGACAGAGATCAGTGCCCCTGGAGAAAATGGTCACTTTGGAAGGAGAACTGTATGGCATTACACCCCACTGAAGTCCCTCTCCTCCTCAAACCCCGCCCTCCTCAGGCTCCACCCCCCAAATCTCCAGGTATTTCCCAACCTGGAGCTGTTATGAATCAGGCAGGCGATGTGGATTCTTTTCTTTTTTTTTTTAACACAGTAGATATACCTTATTGATTTATCCTTTCCCCAGAAAGTATTTAAAAGCAGTTACAAAACTGTCCTGGGAATAGGACTCAGTAGGAGTGTTAACAATGTTACAGGCGCTAGACAATAGGTGCCTGTCTTCTTCTTCTTCTTCTTCTTCTTCTTCTTCTTCTTCTTCTTCTTCTTCTTCTTCTTCTTCTTCTTCTTCTTCTTCTTCTTCTTCTTCTTCTTCTTCTTCTT